AAAGCTCCGTGCGTGGGACCAGCCAGGAGAGGGCACCCGTGGGTGGCCGCTGGTGGCCGCTGCCCGGGAAGGAGCCAGGGACCAGTGTCCGGCCAGTGGCTTTGGCCCCTGGCAGCCTGATCCTCTCTGTCCTCTGGTCCAAGCTGCTGTCGGTCCCCGGCAGCCGGATCCCGCCACAGCACCGGCCCTCCGCAGCGGGGAGAGGTGGGCTGTCTCCCAAGCAGCTCTCTTGGCAAAGCATCCTTTTTCCTTAGGGCAGGGAGCAGAGCCGGGGAATCGGCTTGTAAGGCTGGAGAAAGAAAAGCTCTTTACCCAAAGCAGTTGTGTTTGCTTGAAATAGTTTAAATTTGAATGGGAATAAATTGCTTAAAGGACAGAAAATGGGAGTGAGATGCTGCTCCTGAACGGAGAGGAGTTTCCAGCGAGAGCCTCTGCCTCTAACGGAAGGGGATGCTGGTTTCGGCACGCTCAGTGTCGTCTTGGTGGTCGCCCAAAGTCTCATCTCATCCAGGAGCGTGGGAACTTAACGGACAGGGAATACTGAAGCCGATCACGTTAATATTTACCTAATAACGGAGATAAGGCTTCATCTGCGCTCCCAGAGGAGTGCCCTAGCTGACTTGAACAGGAAAGGTATTTTGAAGAGAGCTGACATCGTTTGTCTGTCACAGGTACTGTAAACCTCAGGCATTAATAAGAGCCGAATCTTCCCTATAAGGACACGCGCCTTCGTTTGATCTTCCGAGGAAGCGCGATGACAGAACGAGCACTGTGGGTGATGCAGAAGGAAACACGCGTTGCCCGAGAGGCTCGGCGGGCGGCGGCACCCCTGGGGAGGGATGCCGGACCCTCTGTGGGCAGCTCGGCAAGTGCCACCGGGCTGCGTGGCAAGTGCTGCGGGCGACAGCGTATGAAGGTGGCAGAGGTAATGACACCTCCAGGGACCCGGAGGCTGAAAGCCGATGAGGAAGCGACGCTTTCCTCCCAAGGAACGGTTTGAATTTCTGTTTCTCCTCGGGGGTGATGAGCTAAGCACAACCCCCGTGCGGGCGAGCACCGGCCGCTGATGCTTGGGAACTGGTGCGCTCGGTTTACTGCGGGGTTTGCTGCTGACGGCTGCCCTTCCCCGGGGCTGCCGCGTCCAGCCACCCTCTCCCAAGGAAAAACTCGCTGCGGTGAAGGTCACGCTGCTGCCGTGGGGACCGGGAGCCCCGAGGGCCACCGGCTGTGAGAGCCACCGGGCACGGAGGGAAAAGTGCTCGGGCGAAGCTGCCCCACGCGCAGCCTCTCCCAGCACGGGCTCTGGGTGTTTTCCAGCGCCAGCAGAGCATGTTTCCTCGGGGAGCAGTGCTGGCTCTTCTCCGCTGCCACCGCCGTGGGACTCTCCTCCATCTTCACAGGGACCTGACGCTGCTGGAGGGACTCGGTTATGAACCATCCTGAGGCTGCCGAGCCCTCACCAGAAAGCCCAGGGGTGCAAAGCTCTCTTGAAGTCCTCGTCCATTCTTTATTCCTCACCTTCGGAGCTGGGAAAAGGAGCCGGGTCCCTGACCCGTCCCGCTCCCTGCGCTGGCGGCGTTGCGGCAGACCAGGGCAGAAGCGTCCCTGTTCCTCCCGCAGGGCTGCTCTGGGACGCGCCCCAGCTCCCGGCAATGCTGGCGTCGCTCCGAGCTCGGGGTCAGGGCAGGCTGACACGGCCCTGAAGCAGCGCCGGGACCCGGGCCGGGGCTTTGCCCTGGCTTTGGGGCAGTGCAGCCCCACGGTACCCAGCCCGGAGGGGTCCCCAGCCCGCACCCAGCATCAGGAGGGAGGGAGCCCTCGGAAGCGAGTCCAGGACGTCCCAGCCACTTGTTTGTCAGAGCGTATGCGAGCAGTGAAGCCAGGAGCTAATTGCCCTGGGCCCAGGCCAAGCCTTCAGCAGAAGCAAGTGCTCTGCAGCTCTCCCCGCGCTGCTGCCGCTGCTGCCGGCCGTCCCCAGTGCTCGCCCAGCTCCCGGGGCAATGCCAGCCCTGGGTCCCCTGAGGCCACCTGCCCCCAGCTCTCCCTGTCCCAGCCACCGAGCACCAAACCGGAGTCCCTCACACAGAGGGGGCTGGTTGCATCCTTCCCTCCGTGATGCTGCCCCAGCTCTGCCCAGGGCTCCCCAGCATCCCCCCACCCAGGGAGCCAGGCTGGGACTTTGCTCCTGTTCCCGTGCCCAGGCGAGGAGTCCTGGCTCCCCCCGGTCCCGTCTGCACCTCTGTGCAGCCCTGCAGCTGCATACCAGGGCTGCAAAACTTACTGGAAATCCTGGAGATGCAAATCCCGGCCTCCCGTCCGTGCCAGGAACTTGAGCTGCAATCCCAAGAGGGCAGCAGGCTCCAAGCATGCAGGCCTCCCCGCTTGCCACCACCCAGCTTCGGAGATCACCTTTAAAGTTTCACCAGGGCCGGAGGATGCGAGCGGCTCCGTGGGATTCCTACAGCCGAGGGTCAAAGGCGTCAGAGCCCGGGACGGCTTCCCGAAGCCCCTGCTGGTTCTGAGGGATGGGTCAGGACCGTGTTAATTCACACTCCCTGGTTCCATCCCAAAACCTCCCAGCTCCGGGATGGATGGAGGTTCCCAGGGTCCGGGCAGGTGACAAGGCGCAGATGGGACCTGCTCCTTCCCCACCCACGGTGACCCACAGCACCAGCTCAGCGCCAGCCCTGCGTCCCCGTTAACCCATGCCCGGGCGCTCAGCCCAGCCGGGAGCGACCGGCACCGCGGGTCCCGGACGGCTGCACCCGCAGCCCTGCAAAGTTTCATTCGCTGCCGGGGGCTGGTCGGGGTCTGACCTGCAAAAGCAAAACTGCAGGAGGCCAGAAAGCGCCAGTAAGGGAGAGGGCAGCTGGTGGGTGGGGGGAGCACGCCTGCTCCCCTAATTTATTAGCAGCTCGCTGATTCCAGCAAACAATTTAGAGAAGTGATGTCTTTGTTTAAAAAAAAAAAATCAGCAGTTCTTCATCACTTACAAACACAGCTCTGCCGAGGCTTCCCTGGCAAGCCCGGGACATCAGCCTGGATACTCCCCACCCAGCTGCGGAGCAGCAGCGGGAATAAAACAACTCCCCCCCTCCCCTGACACCTCTCAAGCGAGCGCCCACCTTGGCCCAAGTCCTTTCCAGGTCACCTTAGCTCTGCCCCCTCTGCAGCCCGGAGGCTTTAATCAATCGCCAGGTGAAACCTAAACCTTGCGACCGAGGGGAAACCCGCCGCCCCAACGGCCAGCGAGATGAGGGTCGGGGTCCCCCCGCCGCAGCGGCTCGGCTGTGGGGAGCGTCTGCCGGGGGGGGACACGGGCAGGGGGACCCTGCGTGCAGCCAGGGCCACGCTCCGGGGGCTGCGTCCCCTTGGGGAGCACGTTCAGAGGGGGCTGCAGGGGCGAGGGCTGGAGGGGAGTGTGGAGGAGACGCCACGGGTTCTCTGGGGAGAATTTGGTTCGGATTTACAGGATTTCAGCCTCCACGGACATGGCTGTTGTCCCCGTCTTGCTGCTGCGGGGTTTGCGTGGCGGCGGGAGGGAGAGGCATCCTCGGAGGGGGGCTTTGCGGGCTGGCTCCTGGGGTGGGTTTTACCAGCACCATTTCCCCCGTGCCCGAGTAAATAAA